TGATGATGATGACAACGAGGAGTCACAACCAGTGATACGAAGAAATCCACCTCGAGACCGACAGCCACCGCCCTGCAGAACACATTCGCGTCGCAGGCATCGATAGATTTTGTTTTTTTATACTTGTATTTAGTACTTTTTATTGTAGTTGTTTATTGGACTTTTTTATTGTAATTTTTTTATTATTTATCATTTAATACTTACTTTGTTAATTTATCATTTAATATAAGTGATTGTAATTTGGTTATCATTTATCATTTAATACTTATTGTATCGTTAATATCAATTATTCGTTAATATAACGCCAATGTCTAATCTCGTATAATTGTATCATTTTTTAATCTTCATCAGCAGTTATCGAATAACATTAACTTGAAGTAAATGCAAAGTAAAGTACAAGAATTATTTGATAAACAACTACATCATTTCCTCATCAATTGTTACTTGATGACAACAGAAGTTGACATGTTTTTCTAGTGTGTTGGGTTTCTACAATACCACATCTTCGTCTTGTCTAGATCTTTCTCGAATATCCATATCGCAATGAATTTGATTGGATTTTGGACGACCACGCTCCCTCAATAAACTCATATTTGGTACAACCGGAAGCCAATCTTAAACCTCATCAGGGTCTTTGTCATTACCTATGGGGGGAAACTCAAATTTGTATACCTTAAAAACTTCAGATAGTAGGTATATGAGATCCATAAAATGGTTATAGTCTTGACGTGTATGCGAGCAAGTTGTTATCACATGAGAGCATGGATACTTCAGAGCTTGAAAAACCTCGCAGTCGCACGTTCTGTCCCTTAGATTTACTCTTAACGATACAACTTCAATCCCTTGAAGAGGTTACGGAAACTCTGTGACACGAAACATTTCATGCCTTATAGAGAAGCTTGTTAGACATTCCATTTGATGCATCAATTTTTTCTGTATATCTGCAACTAATATAGGGTGATAGACATGACCGCATTGCATCCAGGTTTCAGCTTGTCCCCCGAGCTTCACAAAAAGCGCCCTCAAACGAAAATATATAGTTTTTACCAAAGCCGCTACAGGTAAGTGATGTGCACCCTTTAAGGTTGAATTGATTGCCTCAGCCAAGTTGGTCGTCATGTATCCATATCGATATACACCATCATATGCGTTCGTCCACATTTCTTTATCGATGAGGCTGATGTAATCGTATCCTTCCTCGTTCTTCGCCCGCAAATCTTGAAGCATTGATTCAAACGTTCAAGGAAGTAGTTCGTAACCTGATCAAAAAATCTATAACTTAATAACTAGATTTCTTTGCAAAATTAAAATGATAAAAAATGTATAACTTACTAACTTGCTTTCACTTACCCATTCGCACAATTAATTGGCGCTCATCATTCTTCTTGTACATTCCATGGTAGTTTGCAACAATGTGTCGGAGACAATACCTATGTTGGACAAAGGGTGATTTCCACATTGGACTCAAAGACTCCATTTCTGCTTTGATCCCAGCTTCGCGATCTGAAATGACACAAATTTTCTCCCTCATGATAACATGTGCACGTAAGTTTCGGAGGAAAAAAGCCCAAGAATTTGTATCTTCTCCTTCGACAAGAGAAAAAGCAACTGGAAGAATGTTGTGATTGCCATCTTGGACAACTGCCAATAATAAAACTTGCTTGTATTTTCCATACAAGAAATTCCCGTCGATCTGGACCATAGGCTTGCAGTATTTGACAGCATTAACGCACTGTGGGTAAGTCCAAAAAACCCGATAGAATTTTCATCGATCGCGTAGAACTCGATCATTATGGTATGCATAGGAGGTTTCGAAGTCCACAATTATTCCAGGATTCAACGTCCGTACCAACCTAAACCAACCTGGAAGTTCGTTGTAAGATGCATCTCATTCGCCATGAAGTTTGACAATGGCATTTTGTTTTGCCAACCAAGCTTTTTTATATGAGACATTGTACCCATACTGCGATTGTATAGCTGAAATCAACACTGCAACAGCTATATGAGAGCTTGTTTTTACCATAGGCATGATGGCTTAGCATATCACTTCAGAGTCCAAGTTGGGATAATCTTGGTTGACCCCTCCAGTACAACATATGTGAGGACCGTTGTATACTGTTAATTCCCATCTGTTGTTTTTCCTCTTCCTCTTCGATACGCGAACCATCCAATTGCATCCGTTTTCGCGTCGAGCACAGTAGCATACATATTTTTCGGTCGTGGAGCGGTCGACTTGGACTGAACAGAATTACGGATATTGTAATTTTTGATAGCCATCATTGCTTCTTCATTGCTTGAAAACTCCACGCCTAAAGATAACTCACCATTATTTATTGATGAGTAATATCCATAGTCACCGAGATGAGGCATATCCGCAAATTCTGGCCCGTACATTGCATCATAATCAGCTTCATACATGTGTGCTAGAGGGTCAGTTTGTGCCACATTTGCTGGAACTTCATCTACATCATCATCACTATCGGAGTTAAATTACAATGATTCTGGGTGAATGAATAGTCCAGTCTCAGCACCATCCGCACCAGGCTCACGAAGCGGTTCTTCTGGTGGAGATGATGGTTCCTCCATGCTCTCCACATTTAGGTCGAAGAACCTACTACTAGCACGCCTTCTCCTTGAACTAGAAGGCATATCTAGATTGAGATAAAAAAAGCTCGCAGTCGAATGCCTCCCCCTGGAGCTTGTAGCCATCGTGTCAAATGAAAACTGCACAGATTGTTGCGTCGATGGCATCTCCATATTAAGGTCAAAGAAATTTGCAGATGAATGCCTTCCCCTCAAACTGGACGCGATGTTGCCATACAGATTTTTTGTTGACCCACCTCGGTACATATCGTAAGGAGTTACGGATGAATGTCTCCCCATTGAAGTTGATGTGCCGACACCATGATGTGGATTTCCCATTATGGCATTAAAATCATTACACATTACTGTAATCAGGCTGTCAACTTGATCAACTTGTTCAGCCAACCCATAGTGTGAGCTTAATGGCTGACCCCGAACAGCACACACTTGAACAAACTTTGCATACATCTCAATATCGCCGTCTGAATAATTACTTTGAGAATCAGCCATCATTTCAACATCATCATTGTTCGATAGTTCGAACGCTGTATAAATTAATGACAACAATGATGTTGGAAAGTACTGCAACGACGATATTCTTCTACTACTTCCAACATGAACCTTCCTCGAAATCTTCGTTATCAGCTCCTCAAGAGTTATGTTTCTCTTAAATGACATTTTAACACGCTCATTTGATACGAAAACAACGCCGGTTTCATCTTCTCGAATTTCTCCATCATAATAAACAATATCTGAAAGTCGCATCATTCTTAGAGTTTAAAATTGCAACAATATTATATTTACAAAAAAAACAACTGAAACAAACCTGATTAAAAAATAATATATGACCAAAAATATAACAGAATAAATTTTTTACACATAAACGTAAATAATTTAAATAATATAATTTTATATTATTACCTGCACCGCAAAAATATTTCGACGTATACTCTCACTTTCTAATTCTACAAACACAGAAATTAATTGAAAACAATTAGTATAATATTTTTTCAAATAATCATATATAACTATAAAATAAATATTATAACAAAATTACCTTATAACGAAAGATCAAGCAAACTTCTGAATCAAATATAAGATGATTGTCGGATGTTATTTACTGATTCAAAGGATTGTTGGTGAGAGAGTTTACGGGAGACGACTATTTATAGCCAAGAGAGGATGCCTTAAAGCCAAGAAGTTTGGGAAAATAATGCAAGGCGCGGTCCTTGCACCGCTCCTTGCATTATGCATGTTTGATAATCGAGAAGTTTGGGAAAATAATGCAAGGCGCGGCCCTTGCCCCGTGCTATATCTTACGTGGCGCTAAATCAGCGTATAGCGCACTGCGGGGGGCGCGCCTTACTGCAAAGGGTGTTAGATCGGGAAATATAGTATGACCGGTGCCTGATCGGGAATATTAAATTAAAAAGATGATTTTTCGGGAAAAACGCCTCACTTTTTTGGGTACTAATTAAAAACATAGATAATATCACTAATTTAATTTATAAAATTTTAAAATATTTAACATGTAATTATAAATTAATTAAAAATTAAACATAAATTATTTAAAATAAAGTATTAATTACATTATTTTTTATAATTTTATTTTAAATAATAATTAGATCAAATATTAATCCCTAAATTAAAAAAATCTTAATTTGTTTTTTGCTTTGAATATGTCGCTGTCACTACTGTCGCCGTTGTTATTTTCATCGTTGCTATCATTACCATCGTCGTTGTTGTTGCTGTCATTTCCACTGCTACTGTTGTCACTGCTATTGTCACCGTTGCTACCATTGTCAATGTCGTTGCTACTACCACCCTCGTTGTTGCTACCACTGACGCTATCACTGTCATCTTTGCTACCGATTTCGCTGCCATTAGCACTGTTGTCGCGTGTCAAAGTCAGAAAAAAGTTTGAGTTTTTTAATTTAGAAGTTAATATTTGATTTAATTATTATTTAAAAAAATTATAAAAATAATGTAATTAATATTTAATTTTAAATAATCCACATTTAAATTTTTAGTTAATTTATAAATTACACATTGAATATTTTATAATTTGAAAGTTTTATAAATTAAATTAATGATATTCATTGTTAGTGGTGCTTATCGATACTCTTGAAATGTTATAAAACTTTCCTACACTTTATATATAAATGGAGAATGAAATAAAGGTCGTTTAAGCATAAAATGAATATGGATAAAAGGAGTCATCCGAAAAAAGAAACAAAAGCAGTTGTGGAGTGCAAATAGGGAAAACTGTATTGCCAATAGCCTGTTCATTCTTCATATATCAAGGAGCGGAGCATTTTTAATTCCAACTTACAAGATGTTATTCATTTTAATTGGAGCATGTCTCCATTTTGCAAATATCTTAGAGGATTGGGGGTGTTACAAAATCATAAACATGAGGAAGCGTGGATAATTAGAATGAGAAAACTAACCAAGGTGAATCTTCACCCGAATAACTAACAAGGAAATGCAAATGAGTGCAAAGTAGATAATGGAATGCACCAGAATGGAGGCTCCACTCGTTTGGTAGTTGCCAAACTCAACAAATCGGGACTTCGCCGGAATCTGAAAAAGCAGCCCCGGCGATAGCACTATAAAGAGCAGCACCGCCACAAAAACTGGCCCCCAATCCGACATCTTCTCCAACACACAAAACACTTCACAATGAATCACAAGGATTTAAGGATTCCCAAACCTTCGTCACGTGGTTGCTCTAAAACACTTTACTTTGAGGGGAAACTTCCCGAACCGTTCGGTGGGGTAGAAAATTCTTGCATCAAATGTTTTTTTGTGCGCACCACTCTAGTTTTTCTTCTTGATTTTTGGTAATATCAAATCTAGTTTTTCCACCTTTCATGTCTTATTAAGTTAGAAAAAATAGAAAATTCTAGTAAATGTTTTAGGATGAGTATGTCACGCTCGACGAGTATCACTAACGATGGGTACCCGTTAATTTAATTTATAAAAAATTATAATTCTAAAAGACTCAACGTATTATTATAAATTAACTAAAAGTATTTTATTTAAAATAAAGGGTAAACTATACCAGTGATCACCTAACTATTGTTCATTTTCATTTTGACCATCATTTTTAAAATTTTATCAATCAAGTCACTCGACTATTTAAATACATTCAATTAAGCTACTTGTCATTAACATTTAACGGAGAAGCTGATGTGACAATTAAAGTATTTGGTATAATTACACATTTTGTTACTATTATTTATATATTCTATCAATTCGGTCGTAATTTTAATCAACTAAAATAAACTTAATTCTCAAATCAAATGATGTGAAATTTTAACCTTCAAGTCAAATGATGCAATGTTTAATGACACGTGTCACCATCCGATTGGACGATTAAATTTATTTTAATTTAATATATTTTTTTCACCAATCAAAGGGTGACACATGTCACACCCTCAAGAGGAAAGAAAATTTTGGACGCATAAATGATGGGTTGAAGAAGCAAGGCTCAACCATTGAGCCAAAGTAGTTAATTGATTCAAATTTGACTACATATGTTATTTATAAAGTATATTAGTGTAAACTTAAATTCTTAATATTTTATATATCTCAACTTAAATTCATGCATTAAATTAATTTTACAGCTTAACATTAAAAATATATTTTATTTTTATATTAACTTATTAAATATATTTTATTATTGTCTTAACCTAAAACTATATTTTATTCTTATTTTAAATTAAAAAAAATATTTTAGTCTTTATCTTAACTTAAAAAATATATTTTATTTTTATCTTAACTTATTACATAAATTATATTCTTAATTTAAATTATTCAATATATTCTATTATTTCCTTAAATTATTAAATATAATTAATTTTTATTTTAACTTAAAACATATCTTTTATTCTTATCTTAACTTAATATATATATATATATATATTAACTAAAAAATATATTTTATTTTTATCTTAACTACAAAAAATATATTATATTTTTATCTTAAATTTAAAATATTATCAGAATAAAACATAAATACTTAAGTTAATATAAGAATAAATTATAATTTTTTTAAATTTAAGATAAGATTAAAATATATATTTTTAAATTAAAATAAGAATAAAATATATTTTTGATTATGAACAATGGTTGAGTCTTGCTTCTTTAATCTAGGAACCCTAGGCTTAATTCCCTTGAGCATCATTTAATTGCCTAATTCTTTTTCCTCTAGAGGGTGACACATGTTACATCTAATTAGTGAGAAAATTTTATTAAATTAAAATAAATTTAATAATCTAATAGGATGATAAAACAAGTTATTATACTTGACACCAGTGATAAATTATATATTTGATTTGATGGTTAAGTTTATTTTAATTTATTAAAATTATGAGCAAATTGATAGATATATAAGTAACAATAACCGATTATATATTTATATCAAATATTTTAACTGTCATATTAGTTTCTTCGTTAAATATTAACAACAAATGGTTTAATTGAATTCATTTAAGGACAACTGCCACATTTTTCATAGACAGGCCATGAATCGGCGACGATCCAACCGTATCCAAGCTCTGAAAGTCAAAGACTAATGGTGCTAAATTCATTTAAGGACAACTGCCACATTTTTCATAGACAGGCCATGAATCGGCGACGATCCAACCGTATCCAAGCTCTGAAAGTCAAAGACTAATGGTGCTACGATTACAATGAGCTCCGAAAGGAAGCTTCGAGATTTTTCTCTGCTCTCTACCTGGATGATGCTAGAAGGACAGACACGTTTCCTCTTCGTGGCATGTTCCCCAAGCTCAAGCCGAAAGAGGTCAATTATCTTGATAGGGTGGTTACAAATGACGAGATTAAGAAGGCCCTATTCGACATGAACCCGCTCAAAACTCTGAGTAAGGATGGTCTTCATGCCCTGTTCTTCCAGAACCAATGGCAGACGGTAGGCGATTCGATTTGTAGTTGGGTAAAAGGTATCTTCCAAGGTAATACCATCGATGATGATCTTAATAAAACCCTTATTGTTATCATTCCTAAAGTAGATAATCCTACTACTTTTAGCGATTTTTGTCCAATAAGTCTCTGCTCTGTTCTCTATAAATTGGTTATGAAAAAGTTATTGCTAACAGGTTCAAGGCAACATTTATGAGGATTATTGCTTCAAACCAAGCTAGTTTTATTGTCGGAAGAAGCATCAATGATAACATCCTTATCGCTCAGGGTGATACTGTCGATGAAGCGCAAGAGAGGCAAGACTCGTTGGCTTGCGGCCAAAGTTGATTTAGAAAAAGCCTATCACAGAGTCGATTGGGATTTCCTTTAAGATTCTCTCATCGATATGGTTTACCCGATAAACATTCGTCGGATTATTTGGAGTTTGTCACATCCTTAAAAATGCAAATCCTATATATGGAATGGAACCTTCACTGTGGAATTCAAACCCTCTAGAGGAATCTAGAAAGCGTTTCCTCTTTCCCCCTACCAGTTTGTTCTGTGCATAGAACGGCTTGGGTATAGTGTGCAGATTGAATGGCTACCGATCTCTGGGAACCGATGATCATCTCGGAAGGCCCCCCTGTCACATCTTTTTTTCGCTGATGACCTTGTTCTTTTCCGTGGGGCTGAACTTGCTCAAGTCAGTTTATTGGGAGCTAAAGTTGATTTAGAAAAAGCCTATCACAGAGTCGATTGGGATTTCCTTTAAGATTCTCTCATCGATATGGTTTACCCGATAAACATTCGTCGGATTATTTTGGAGTTTGTCACATCCTTAAAAATGCAAATCCTATATATGGAATGGAACTTCACTGTGAATTCAACCCTCTAGAGGATCTAGAAAGCGTTTCCTCTTTCCCCCTACCAGTTTGTTCTGTGCATAGAACGGCTTGGGTATAGTGTGCAGATTGAATGGCTACCGATCTCTGGGAACCGATGATCATCTCGGAAGGCCCCCCTGTCACATCTTTTTTTCGCTGATGACCTTGTTCTTTTCCGTGGGGCTGAACTTGCTCAAGTCAGTTTATTGGGAGCTATCTTGGATCAGTTCAATAGGTTTTCGGGTCATAAAGCGAATGCCACTAAAACAAAAGACTTTTTCACTGGGAACGTGGATGATGAGATGGGCAGGCGTTTATGCAATTCTTTGGGTTTCCAACCTTGCAATGATATCGGGAAGTACTTGAGCATGCCCAACTTTCATAGCAGAGTCACTAAAGATACCTTCCAGTTCATAATTGACAAAGTTCAAGCTAAGCTAAATAATTCGGTGGCTTCCAAGTTGTCCTTAGCCAGGCGTGTTACCTTAGCCAAATCTACTCTCCTTGTCATTCCTAACTTTTTTATACAGACGGTCGCCATCCCCAGAGGTGTTTATGATAAGATTGAGCAAATCGCCTGGAGGTTCATATGGGGTGGGTCCCAAGACTCAACGAAGGTAACCCTGGTGAATTTGAATACTTGCTGTTGTCCTGTCCCTATGCCCAGGGAAGACTCGACATCCGAACCTTACGTACTCAGAATGGCGTTTTTCTAATCAAGCTGGGCTATAGTTTTGTGACGCAACTGGATACTCTGCGGATCTGTATAATGCACGCGAAGTATAAAATCAAGCAAATAGTGCCGAGTACCCTCGAAGCGAGGAGGGGTTCCTTTATTTGGAGGTCCTTAGCGCGGATTTGGCCTCACATCTGCAGAAATATGGACTGGTCCTTAGGAGATGGCAGACGCGCTCGGTTCTGGTTCGATGCTTGGATTCTAGGTCTAGTTATTCTTGCTAAGCTGGTAGCCCCGAACCAGATTATGTTTCCCCATGCTGTCGTGAGGGACTTTATTACTAAAGAGGGAGGCTGGAACATCAAACTTCTCAACCACGTTCTTGATGAGGAGCTACTCCAATGGATCGTGGGTATGCTGTGTCCGAGTGAGGATGTGGGGGAGGACAAACCAGTTTTGCGTTTGGATCAAGTGGATGGATGCACTATTCAGTCGACCCTTAGATTGATCCAGCAAGATGATTGTATCGTTCCTGATAATTGCTGGAAGCTAGCTTGGCATTTCGATGGTCCACAACGTGTCAGACAACTGCTCTGGACAGTGCTACACCAAAAATTAATGACCAATGCTGAGAGTACTAGGTGCGGATTTACGAACGATCAGCTGCCCAAGCCGTGGTTCTATTGAAGAAATTTTGATTCACGTGTTCCGTGATTGCTATCAAGCCAAAAGCATATGGGTTCAGCTGATCCCGGAGCAGCTTAAAACACAATTTTTTTTCTCTTCCACCTTACTGGATTGGCTGAATCTGGATCTAATTACTTTTGTTGGGGTTCGGTCTGAGGAATGGCATTGGAGACATCTTTTCGGCATTATCATATGGAAGCTGTGGAAGAATCAGAACGAGTTTGTTTTCCGTTGGAAGATCCGGGCGGCAATGGACACAAATCAAGAGGCCAAAGCGTGGGCGGAGACAATCATGAAAGCGACCCAATGTAAGGCGCGCAACACCACGCCCAAGGAGTGGACAACCTGGAAACCGCCACCTCCAGAATTCTTTAAGCTTAACACGGATGAAGCTGTCAATCTCTCGTCGATGCAAGCCTCAAGTGGGGGCGTCATTCGAAACGCCAATGGTGAGTGGATAAAAGGCTACACGAGGAAGATTGGCTG